CCTCTCTCTCTCTCTCTCTCTCTCTCTCTCTCTCTCTCTCTCTCTCTCTCCCCCCCCAGCTGCCTGTCTTGACAACCGTCATGGCTTAACCAAGGTGTCTAAGGCTTGGATGATGTCATCACACAATCAAGAGAAGAAGCAGCAGGAGGGCGAGCAGCAGTATCGCCGCTAGAATTTTCAAAAAATCCATGCAGAACATGATCGTTCTCAACAAATTTGCTACAACACAGTTTCCCTGACACTGCCAGCGTGACACTGGCAATGATCTGACGGCAGGTGGATCTCTGACCTCCATACAGGATCATCTGCAAGGCTTGGCACTACACTACCCATACACATGAAGCATACAGGAAAGCCCTCACCTTTGCAGCAAGCAGACAACACTGTTTCATGAGTTCGCATATTGCATGGCTCGTGTTCGATGGTCGCCATCACACAGCCCTTGGTGGGTGTCATATCTGGCAGAGGCAGTGCAGTCCTTTTCATCAGATTAACAACGAAACAACAATGTCAACAAATAGAATGACCACAGGGTGCCTCGAGCAATCAACAAATAGAATGACCACAGGGTGTCTCTCTCTCTCTCTCTCTGTGTGTGTGTGTGTGTGTGTGTATGTGTGTGTGTGTGTCTCTCTCTCTCATGCAACTGCCCTTCCGAGATTCTGTTGGGCGAGGGACCTCTAGCGGCAGAAACAAGCTCATTCGTCTCACATGTAAAATAATACAGCGGAACTATTGTAGCGATCGACTAGGCACAGAGATAACATGCGCAGGGAACTTATTGGGCGATCGACCAGGGACGGAGATAGCATGGGCAGGGAAAGAGAGGACAGGCTCTCTCTCACACAACCACGATTCCCAGAGGAAAGGAATCGGCAATGCAACATGAAACCGAGCGAGGACATTTTGGTTGAATGCGCTTGACTGACACTACCATGCAATCGTCGCACGTGAGTCCGATGCCGGACATAAGATGAATGCACTTGTACGATACCAGCTGCGAGCTTCGCAGAGCAGATTCAGCGAAATGTTGACGGTTCAGGGAGAAGAGTAATCGTAACAGGTGTTCCCGATGCGGGCCCTAAGACGCATGCACTTGCACGATACCACATGCGAGCTTTGCAGGTGTTTCCGATGCGGGACATAAGACACATGCACTTGTACGATACCACCTGCGAGCTTCGCGGAGTGAATTCGGGGAAATGCTGACGGTTGAGGGAGGAGAGGAATCGTCGCACGCGAGATCGACGCAGGACATACGTAAGATGAACACACTTGTACGATACCACCTGCGAGCTTCGCAGGTGTTGCCGACACGGGACAGAAGACGTGCACTTTTACGATACCACCTGCGAGCTTTGCGCACCGAATTCGGCGAAATTTTGACGATTGAGGGAGGAGAGGCATCATCGCAGGCGAGATCGACGCAGGACACATACGTAAGATGAACACACTTGTACGATACCACCTGCGAGCTTTGCGGAGCGAATTCAGTGAAATGTTGATGGTTCCGGGAGAAGCGGAGTGAAGCACAGGAAAGCAGAACCTTCAGCGAGAAGACGAAATGGTGGTTGGCAAGAAAAAGCCGACGTACTATCACTCACCAATCTTCTCAAGCAATGTCTGCAAGGATTCCAGTTGAGCAGCAAGCTCTGCTACCTTTCGAGATGGTCCAAGATCCAGTTCCGATACCCCCCCGCTTGCGGCAATTGCCCCCCTCCCTCTGTCAGTCAGAAACGCGTCAGCGCCTAAACTCAACTGATCTCTGATCTGGAAACACAAACTCTGGGACTTCAACAACATCATTTCTGCCTCCATCAGTCTATCCCTCCATTTCCCCTCTTCTGGCTGCTCGGTGCCTTTCTTCGAGAATCTCCTCGCCGGACCAAAATCTTCTCCAAAGATACTGTACGCCAAATCTTTCAAGGGCGACGCCGTCTCCCTATTTGGCATCTGACCGTATCCTGGGGCATTTGTGAAATGCGGCGAACACCCACCACGCAAACCAATGGAAAAGAGGGATAGAACAAAACGCGACAGAAACACATCCAAACAAAGGGACAAGGATAAAAAAACGGGGTAAGCAAAACACATTGCAGAATTCTTTCCTTGGCAACATAGATATTGTGTGTTAACATAATAGACATCTAGGCTACCAGAGTGACCCAGAACCACTTGACACGGCTGGGCAGGGCCAAAAAACATTAAAATAATAATAATAATAATAATAAAACATTATAAAAGTTCAAAAACTTTTTTTTTTTTTTTTTTTTTGGTAAAGAATTTCCAATTTGACCACGAGGCAAAAGTTGTTCGGTTTAATTTTCTGCATAACATAGTCTTTTCGCGAGGCGCTACATGCAGTATGTTGTGCAGCGTAGTGAGGCCCTTAGACACGCACGGCTCAGGCTTCGAGACAAGCATATGACAATTGGCACGAAATTGTGTAGCATCGTGTTCGGATTCGGTGACCGAACGCGAACGAGCGCCGAAACTCTCTGAACGCGAACATACAAATATTCAAAAAAAAAAAAAAAAAAAAAAA